GTAGTTGGATGAGGTTTCTAGCACAACAATTAGGGTGTTTGGCCATCCCATCACCAGAGTAGGTCAGTTCGGGCTGTCTCTCGACCATTGCCAGCAGTCTGTTGTTGATCCAGCTGGGATCTCCCGCTCCCCCAAGCTCTCTTTCCCTCGACCCTCGCCTTTCATTACCCCCACTCATGTCCAGGCTGTTCATGTAGATCTCATTCCATTTCTCTGTCATTGGGTGATCCCCGTGTCTGTCTTGGGGTCTTGTTTTCCAGGTAGCCTCCCTGGTGATGTGAGTAGCAGACAAGACCTACCTGGACTGAGTCTACCAGGTTGACCTCAGTCTGTGGGGAAGGCTTTGCCCTGGAGGAGATGGGAATGGGGGGGGGAGGGTTGGGGGGAAGGTGAGGGGGACGGGAGCGGGGAGAACAAGGGAATCCGTGGCTGATATGTAGAACTGAATTGTATTGCAAAATAAATTAAAAAAAAAAACAAACAAACAAAAAAAAAAAAAAAGAAAAAAAAAGTGATCCAACTAAAGGGTTATGTCCGGCTCGTAGTAATAGTTTTATTTTTAGATAATCTCAGTGGATTGTTGGAGCTTGTTCACATATTAGGTATACTTCAGCTGTGCTTGGTGGTACGGGACTGTGATCCTAGCTACCCGCCCCCAGTCTTTCTTTCTAGTATTGCCACATTAATTAAATCTCTTTCTTCTGCTTTTCACTTACTTAGCTCTTTTAATTGGCTTGTTGAAGATGAGTGGTCAAACCCGACTATGACCCTAAGTCTGATGACTTGATTTTGATTCCTGGAAATCACGTGGTAGAAGGAGAGAACCTACCCCCACAAGAACCTACTCTCTCTCTCTCTCTCTGTTTCTGCCTCTGTCTCTCTGTCTCTGTCTCTCTGTCTCTCTGTCTCTCTCTCTGTCTCTCTCTCTCTCTCTCTCTCTCTCTCTCTCTCTCTCTCTCTCTGTGTCTCAAGACAAAAAGAAGGAAGGGACAGAGGGAGGAAATGAATCCTAGTGATGACTAGAGCTCTTCACTGATGGCTCTGTAGGTTCAGACGCTGTCTGGTGCTAGGCATATAAGGGCTCCTCTGTGTGCTCTGTGTGGAAATCTCTGATCATCAGCCCAGAGGTTCCTTAACCAGAGTAACCAGAGCAAGGTAGTCTCAGGTTCCATCTCCCTGGAGAAAAAAGCATGTAGTTTCTCATTTGCTTGATTTTCCACTTTCTCTGCGAGGCCTCATCCTGCCCCTGGCGATAGAAAGAACATGTTTCTTTTGCGTGCTACTGGGAATGCACTAAAACAGATGTTGAAGGATGAAGTTTCAGAATGGAGGAGTGTGCCACTTGCTGCAGTGTTTGTATCTGAAAGAACTTAATGGTTCCCAAGAAACTGCAAACCCAGCAGAGGGTGCTTTCTGTGGCTTAACATTTCTGAAGCCATGTGTCAATTCAAGGACTTTGGGAAAAACAATTTATCATGTTATTTGATACAAAAATCAATGCCAAATGGTAAGGAGAGGTTCTCCTTCATTCTCACAGAGCAGGGGCCAGCAAATTGTGTGACCCATGAGTCAGGTCTAGCCCTCTACAGTTTACAAATAAATTTTGTTGGAGCACAGACGTGCTCATGCATTTACATGGTGTGTGCTTGCTCTCTCACAAACAGAGTGAAGGAGAGATGACAGAGGCATTGTGGCCTACATAGAGGTGAAGGAACTTACCCTCTACTCTCCAATGGTCTGGATATTTATGTCTGATAAAAGGAATTGACAGTAAATAGATTAACAGGAGTAAAGGCAAACAGATGCATTAATGTTCACGGACAACACATTAACGCAGAAGCTCAGAGAAGGCTAAAGCCTCTGTACTCTCCTCTTAGGAAAGAGGCCAGTGGGGCACAGAGGTGGGTCTAGAAAGGAGATGAGAGACCCAAAGAATGGATGGTGGGCTGACACAGTGCTCTGAGTGTAGACGCTGATACAGTGCTCTGGGTGCAGACGGTGGACTCTAGGTAGAAACCGTGAGCTGACACAGTGCTCTAGGTGTGGACAGTGACAGTGCTCTAGGTGTGGACAGTGACACAGTGCTCTCTGGGTGTGGACAGTGACACAGTGCTCTGGGTGTGGACAGTGGGCTGACAGTGCTCTGGGTGAGGTGATTGGTTTTCAGTCTCTTCTTCTATGGTAAGAGTTTAATCTTTCTCAGTTGATGTCATTTCCCTAAGGAGCTTACAGGCAATTGCATTTCCCCTTGGCTAATCCAGTCTTTAGGTAGATACGGGAACTCAAAGAAAGCCCAGTGTGTTTCTGTGAAAATAGGATTGAGAGACATGAAGAAAGGAGGCTGGGATGGGGAAGGTCAGAGAGGCCTTGAGGCTGCTGCTCCAGTCTAGCAGGTAAATGCAAGGCACTTGGGGAATGTTTTGTGAGTCCCAATATAGAAAACATCGGCACTGTTTACTGCCTAGCCTTTTAGAGAAGGAGTTTGCAAGCCTCTCAATTTTAGCGTTCTGTCAGAGTCTGCATATCTGGCTTGTTGTGTGCTAGCTTTGGGGCTGTCGGTGGGCTCTTGAACTCATCTGAGTTTTTAGTTTCTTCGCTTAGGACATGAATGACACAAGATTTGAAGTTCAAGTTAGAAGACATATGCAGAGTGCTATCCTTGCCCTGCAAATGCTATTGAGAGCTCAGATGATGCTCTTAGCACAGTGCCTGGCACAGAGGAAGTACCTGTGAACACCTGGATATACAAACCGTAATGGTTTCAGACATTGTCCTCATTATTCTTGTCTGCTGACACTGCTGTGCACTGCCAGCAGCTCCTGGGATCCCACCCTCTTCCTTCCTGCTGTTCTGTCACAGGCAGCTCTGGTTTCTACAGCCAGGAAGGTCTCGTGAATACAGAGCTAAGATGAACATAGGTGACATAGTGGGTGGGACAGGATCCAGCCTGTCACATCAAAAACCCTACAGCAGGGCAGCATGTGGGGCAAGGTGCTGGGTCTGAGTTCCTGGGCTAGTCTCACTGGCCCTTTGTGCACTAGATAGAGCCTATGGCTCCTGTAGCTCTGTGAGAAGCCATGGTGCCTAGTCAAATATAGACAGTGCTGGCCGCACAAGATACCCTACCCCCTAGCAATCTTTATGTAGAGGAGAGTAAGCTTGGGAATGCAAATGTCTGCATGGCATATTCTCCATGGATTTCAGGTCTTCACTCACATGTCTGCAGGTTCTTATTTGACCATCCATGTTGAAATACCCATCTTCCCATTGCTTGATTTCTTCATGCAGCATATTATAACACACATGCTCTGTATTTAATCTACTTAATTCATTTACTGTTCTTCCCCGTGTTCTAGGATTATGATTACAGGCTTGTTTTTCACTGATAAGTTCTTGGTGTCTGTAATAGTCTTATATACATAGTATTCAGTAAATTATAATGAATGAGGGCTGGCCCTCAAGTGAGCTTGATCCCCAGCATCCATGGAAAGACAGAGTGTGTGAGTGGCGAAAGGTACTTTCAGAGATGTGATGCTATGCCAAAACTTGGGAAAGCTGGGGCAGAGCCAGTGAGAAAACCTTGCTAGTCCAGCTCAGGAGGCAGCCTGTGGGTGGATTTGGAAAATGGAGGGACCTTAGCTGGTCTGTTGGGAGGCCTTGTAGGTGGCACATCTCTGGTTCTTGATGACTGCTATCCGTCCCAGACATCCTCTAGGCTGCTGGGGTAGGACCTGCAGTGGACCAGGCTCTGAATTCAGACACACCTTGCCACATCTTGTGATGGAGGCATGAGGAAGCCTGGGCCAGAGAATCCCCTCAGATCCCATGTAGGACTTCCATGCCTGATGCTTGGAGCCTGTGGCTTCACATCATTGCTGGAGAAGTATTGAGCCATCCTGTGAGAGCCAGTGCCTTAGACAATTTGTCTGTGACAGGGGAATTCATACTTGTTCCTCTAGCACAGGACAAGCCCGCTTGTCCAAAGAGCATGCTTGGGGAACTACCCATCCATAACGAGCCCCAACCCACAGTGCCGGTCTTAGTCATTGTTCTGTTGCTGTAAAGTGACACCATGACCAAGAAAACTCTTATGAAACAAAGCACTTAATTGGGAGCTTGCTTATAGTTTCAAAGGTTTTGTCCATTACCATCATGGTGGGAAGAGTGGATGCTAAAGCAGTAGCCAAGAGCTACACCCCGAAATGTTTGCAGAGAGAGAGACTAGGCTGGGCATGGGCTTTTGAAACCTCACCCCCGCCCCCCCCCCCCAATGGCATACTTTCTCCAACCTCCTAATCCTTCTAATCCTTTCAAATAGTGCCATTCTCTGGTGACAAAGCATTCAAATACATGAGCCTATGGGGACCATTCTTATTCAAACCACCACAGTGACCTGTAGCACAAATCTTAAAAGGTCTTATTAATAAAAACAAACCCAGAGCCAGGTATTGGGGTGAATGCTGAATGATCAGAGAAGCAGAACAAGCCACAGCCACCTCACCTTGCCTACTCCTCAGCTAATCCTGTTTCCTCAGACTGGAAGCCTTTGAATCCTAAATCCTCATCTGAATGGGTCTCAGCTGAACTGTTGCTCAAAAGTCTAAAAGCTTAACCAGCCAAATGCTTCTAGTTCCTCGTCCTCACGCCTTATATACCTTTCTGCTTTCTGCCATCACTCCCTGGGATTAAAGGCTCACTTTCTGGGATTAAAGGCATGAGTCACCATGCCTGGCTGTATCCTTGAACACACAGAGATCCAGGTAGATCTCTGCCTCTGGAATGTAGGATTAAAGGCATGTGCTACCACTGCCTATCCTCTATGTTTAATATTGTGACTGTTCTGTTCTCTGACCCCAGATAAGTTTATTAGCATGCACAATATTTCAAGGAACACAATACCACCAGAGTGACCTTCTACCCATAGCCACCCCCAGACAGTGACTCACCGACCTACAATGACCTCTTACCCACAGTGACCCTGCTCTTCTGCTGTGTTCCAGCATGGGCTACTGCATTCTCTTCGTGCATGGACTGAACAAGCTCTGCGCTGGGCTGAGCCGGTGTGGAGCCACCTCCCTGATGGCGTCTACTGTGTTGTTGCTACTGCTTTTTTCCTGGAAAACTGTGAAGCAGAATGAAATTTGGTTGTCAAGAGAGTCCTTATTCAGGTATGATTAAGCAGGTAAATGTATATCTCTTCCCACTCTTTCACTGACGACAGATTTATTTCCAAATGAAGTAACATGGGTGTGGTAGTTTGTATTAACCTGGAAAATTGCTTTTAATAAATTTGAAATGAACGATATTAATTTTATTTGGGGGTTTAATTTTAGGTTTTTCAAAGTGATATATAAAATCTGATATAAGCCGGGCGGTGGTGGCGCACGCCTTTAATCCCAGCACTTGGGAGGCAGAGCCAGGCGGATCTCTGTAAGTTCGAGGCCAGCCTGGGCTACCAAGTGAGTCCCAGGAAAGGCGCAAAGCTACACAGAGAAACCCTGTCTCGAAAAACCAAAAAAAAAAAAAAAAAAAAAAAAAAAAAAAAAAAAATCTGATATAAATTCACTCTAAGTGGATTTGTGAGAGTAAGAAGATTCTGGGTCTATGAATTTGGGTGGAAATATCCACTGATGAGCTGGGCTGTAAAAATAGTCACCAAATAAAATCTCCACGCCACATTTCATCACTCAGCCAGGTGCAAGGGGAAGGTGAGCACACAGCAGGAGAGCAAGACAGATGGCAAATCTCTCTGGAATATTCCAGAGCATTGTCATGGTCTGTGATCTCAGTGTTTATCATTGTTTATTTTAAACATTAATTTTAGGTGAGAAAATAAAAGACTTCCGTTTTCTGGTGTTTTTTTTTTTTTCCTCTGTGATGGAATTTTTTTCTGAATACAAGCATTGTTGCTGGGTTGGTATTAGCAGCTCAGGGGTAGTGAGCGCACTTGCCAAGCACACTAGGTTAGATCCCTACATCATTCATATGTGATTGTGTGTATTGATGTGCATAGGTATATATGTTATGTGTATATATACATATATGTGAGTGTGTGTATACATGTTTACAAATATGTAAACACATCTTATATATACATAAACATACATATATGCACATATGTGTATATATGTATGCACATGTACATATGTGCATTGTGTGTTTGTGCATATTTACATAGACATATATCTGTATATGTGTTCATCTATAGCTTCCAGCCTGTCCCAAAGTATGAATATTAGTATTTGTTGTGAAGAAGTGAATGAATGCATGAATGAATGAATAAATAAGGCAAATGCTCACTGGACTCCGCTACTTTTTGAAAATAATTATGTCTGAGGCTGGATATGGTGGTACATGTCTTTAATCCCAGCACTTGGGAGGCAGAGGCAGGCAGATCTCTGAGTTCGAGGCCATCCTGGTCTACAGAGAATTCCAGGACAGCCAGGGCTACACAGTGAAACCCTGTATCAAAAGAGAAAAAAGAAAAGAATGTGTTTAATCTTACTACCCAACAATATAAACATTTTTAATGTAGTTAACTTGGTGTGCCTGTCTGGGTGTCATTTATCAACATGATGTCATTGCAGCCCTGGTTCCTATATAAGGACTGCTGCAGGACAAGACTTCTTTTTGTTTATCAGACGTAATAATGGGTCTCATGTTGACACTCTGTGTGAACATAAGGGCTTTTGACCACAATCACTCTCCATTCAGTCTTTTGTCTCGGGTCCACTGATCACCTTCTTCCAAACTAATACCTGTCTACTTCCATTTCTTTTTTTAAACAAATTTTAAGATATTTATTTTATTTTATTTTATGTGTATCTCTACACACTACTTACATGTCTGGTGCCCATAGAGGCCAGAAGAAGGCATCAGATCCTTGAGAACTGGCGTTACAGATGGTTGTGAGCCATCATGTGGGTGCTGGGAATCAAACACAGGTCCTCTGTAAGAGCAGCCGTGCTCTGAACTGCAGAGCCTCTCCAGCTCCCCCTTTGTGGTGACACCGTGAGTTCCATTAGGACTGTTGACAGCTGAAGGTTTGTTTATAGGGTTGTAAATACTTTATCCAATGCTACACCACTGAAGAGAGAGTCTCTCCCTACCTCCTGGAACTCTCGGGGTTTGCTCCAGCCCTCCTCATTCACTGTGGTCCTTATAGAACACAGGGGCCCCTCCTTCCCCATGCCTCAGGCTGGAAGCATTGAAGTTCAGACACAGAACTTCCTCCTGGTCTCTTGGTCTAATCTTTCTCTCACTTTCAGTGGTTGATTTTTTATGAAACACTTCCCATCCATTCTGCTACTGTGTTGAACACTTTTCCTGGACAAAGCCATACACTGGGAATGGCATCTGCTAATGATGTTTACTGCTTAATCAAAACAACTTACGCCGGGCGGTGGTGGCACACGCCTTTAATCCCAGCACTCGGGAGGCAGAGCCAGGCGGATCTCTGTGAGTTCGAGGCCAGCCTGGACTACCAAGTGAGTTCCAGGAAAGGCGCAAAGCTACACAGAGAAACCCTGTCTCGAAAAACCAAAAAAAAAAAAAAAAAACAAAAAAAAAAAAAACAACTTACATGGTGGGGGTAGGAGGCAGCATTTGCTCCAAGGATAATAAGCTAGAGTTCAAACTCTCTGCAAATAATACCAGTAGTTAAAAAATAAGTGAAAACAGCAACAACAATAAAACTGGAAAGCACACTGATTTTGCATCCCGGACCTTCTGTCCCTTTTGGTGGAAGTGTGTTGGAAGTTGGTTACTAAGATACAACCATCCCACATCTGTGCTGGAAGGGACTTTGGCCTGGGAGGCCTTTGAAGATTGGGTGAATTTTTGTGTCAGGTACAATTAAAATAGCTTATAGTTTAAATTAAACTTTGACTGTGTCTAAGTCCTGGGAGAAGCTAGAGGCTTGTAGAGTCTTTTTTCTTTAAGGCTAGATATGTCTGTGTCTTCATCTGTGAGAAATGATGTTGAGCTCACTTGGACACTTCACTGCCAGCTTCTGAGGTAGGACAGGGTAAGTGACTGAAGGTCACATCTGGAGTTGGGCTTGCTGACTGCATGCAAAGTTCACCTGTTTAATTGCCTGCTTTTGGGCAAATCTTTTAAAGTTCATTGAAAAATGGAGAATAACAGTGTTTATCATCCAAGGTATAATGTAAGAATGAAACAGTACCTGAGAAATACCTCCAACAATGTCCGCCGTGGGGTAAACACTGTGTAAAGTTCTCAGATTGTAACTGTGTTCTGTGTTCTGGGATAACAGAGGAGAAAGACACAGGTTGCCAGAATGAGAGGAAGGAGACTGGGAGAGAAGGACTCCTTGGAGGGTCTGGAAGCCAGCATGGAGCAAACGTTACTGGTAGTCTCTGTCTCAGCATCAGACTAACCAACTTTAGGAATGAGCTTGATCAGGACTCTGGCCTCTCCATCTATAGTGTAGGACACAATAGTTAGCATCTGCCCTGGAATGAATGATGACATAGGTAGGTGGGCACTTGACCCAGTGTTTGGTTGAAGGTGAGTGGTATGCAAACATCACCATCTGTGGTGGCAGTGTGAAACCGTGGACCAAAGCAGGATTCAAAACAGAGAGATCTCTCCTCCTTTCCTTTGCTCTGATGCGCTAGCTGCTATTTGTGATGCTTTAATGTTTTGTCTCTAGTTATGCTATTCAGTAATGTAAACAAAATAAGTTGATGTTCTAAACCCCAGGAGAGATATCTGATGAAGGTGGCTGTTTTGTTGTTGTTTTGTTTTGTTTTGTTTTTTTTTTTAGTATTTCTTTTACTTCTCAAGTCATCTACAAATGAGAGGCATGAGGGAGTCATGTGAAATGCATGTGTTAAAATGCTGAGTGGTAAGAGCTGGAGAGATGGCTCAATGGTTAAGAGTACTAGATGCTTTTCCAGAGGACTTTTGATTCCCAACACCCATATGACAGCTCACAACCATCTGTAACTCCAATTCCAAGGGATCAGATTCCCTCTTCTGGTCTCTGAGGGCACTGCACAGACTACATGAAGGCAAAACACACATACACATAAAAATAAGTCTTAAAAAATAAAACAAAATGCTGAGGGTTGGCACGCTGCTGTAATCTCAGCACTTAGGAGATGTGCACACCCACACTACTTTATTTTTGGTGAACTTTATGGCTCCTCAAGTCTTTCATTGACATGATAAAAATAAACAAGATTACAGTGTTTTAATGAAGGGTATCCAGAGTAAATTCTAGGATCACCCCACCTAACTGGGTTTTCATCTTGAATGCTCTGTCTCAGTTTATTTCTCCCTCTATACTTTCTGTTATCACCATCCTGCTCTCTGCTCCTATGGGTATGAATTCTTATGCACACAGCATTTTTCCTATATGTGGCTTTTATAATGTCTTCTAGGCCTACTCATGTGTCACATATTGCACAATCTCCATTTGTAAAGCTTAATAATATTCTATTGTACATACATGTCACAGCTTCTTTTTTTGTTCATCTATTCATGAGCCTTATGTTAACATATCTTGATTATGGTGAATAAGGGGAAAGCTATTTGATACTGACCCTGACAATGATTTCTTAGATGTCACAATGAAGGGCAAGCACAGGCCAACAAAAGCAAAAATGGAGAAATGGGATTACATGAACCTGCAAGGCTTCTATACCTGAGTGTAATGTTCTTGGGATCAGAAAGCAGGACTGTGAATTGAGAGCTTGGGCTCCATAGAACGGTTGCTTCCAACATGCCCGGAATAAGTACAGTCAAGGGCTTGGTAAGAAAATGGAGCCCTTGCAGATTCTGGGTGGGAATGGAAACCAGTTCAGCCATCCTTAGAAACAGTATAGAAGTTTGGCAAAGGATTGCAAATAGACTCACCGTGTGGTCCGGGGGTGTGTCCCTGAATAAGTCCACAGGAAGTGAGACTGATACTTGGAGTATCTGTGCCCCTGCAACGGGTGGGAAATCTGGCTTCTTTTCTGTCTAGCTGACCTGTCCTTTGGGATGGATGGTCTCTAGCTTCCCATGGCCCCATCAGACCTCTCTACAGTTGCTTGAGCCCCAGCCAGAAGACTTTAAGTGAGGCAAAATAAAAAGAGGCTGTGATTTTGGCAAAATTGGTCCTATTATATTTCCCCAGTGGGTTGTATACAGTGCGTGGAATTTTCCTACTAATATTATCTTCGTGTTTAAACATTAAATGGAAATTTCATCTAAGAGAGGTGATATGGTACAATTAAGTTGCCTACAAAGCAGGTTCTCATCTTGTCATCCTTCCTTGTTCTCATCAACTGTTTCCCTTTCTCCTTTAGTCAAAATAAATCCCTGAAGTTTTCTTTCTGAATAGTCCTCTGCCCTCTCCACTTTGTTGTCAAGAGTGTCCTGCCACCACTTCCCTTTAGGCAAAGGAACAGGCCCCAGACCCAAACACCTTGTACCTGAATCCCCTCCCTGCCACTTACCTGCTGTCTGGTCTTCTTCAAGTCAAATTATGCAGCAGATGCACACAACAAGCTGATTTTCTCCTGGTCCCATCCTTCTTATATTGTCTTCAGAGCTTGGGGATCCCCCTTTAGAGGTCCCCCTGGGCCTATGATCTCAGCTCTAGGCAAGTGTCTAATGGGAAATTCAGCATTGGTATTTAGCCATGTGGACGTGCCAATCACACTCACTGCTGATTGATAATCATTATGTACTTATGGTTGAGAGCAAAGGCGGTGTGATTTTTGTGGACTGAGTCCCCCAACTTCAATTCATATGTTGACACCTTAGCATACCATTTTATTGTATTTGGAATTGGAGTCTGGGAGGGAAATGCTAATGAGTGAAGTCATTAAGATGGGGCCCTGACCTAAGGTCTGTTGCTATTACAGGAAGAGGACATGAGAGCTTATTCACTGGGCACACTGACAAAGAAAGGCCATGGTAGGACACAGCTAAAGAGTAGATGTCTACAGGCCAGGAGCAAGGCCTACCCAGACAGTGAACTGACCATAGAGAGTAGATGTCCACAGGCCAGAAGCAGGGCCTACCCAGACAGTGAACTGACCATAGAGAGTAGATGTCCACAAGCCAGAAGCAGGGCCTACCCAGACAGTGAACTGACCATAGAGAGTAGATGTCCACAGGCCAGAAGCAGGGCCTACCCAGACAGTGAACTGACCAGATACCTGAGTTTAGACTCTAATCACCAGAATTGAGAGAAAGAAATTTCTTGTTTTAGCCACTTAAACTGTGATGTTTCACTATGGCTGGCTGAACAAACTATCATTTGCTTTGTTGTTGTTGTTGGTTTGGTTTGGTTTTTGGTTTTTTGAGACAGGGTTTCTCTCTGTAGCTCTGACTGTCCTGGAACTTGATCTGTAGACCATGCTGGCCTTGAACTCACAGAGACCCACCTGCCTCTGCCTCCCAAGTGCTGGGATCAAAGGCATGCGCCACCACTGCCCAGCTTATCACTTGCTTAAGCAAGGCTTTTGATGCTTCCAAAATCTTCATTTCATTAATTATAGAATAATTATTCCTACAGTAATTCAAGTTAGCATAGACTTGATATGGCAATATTAATTTCGATAAATTTTATCAATAGGGATGTCAGCCTACATTCATCTCTCTGAATGATTCATTTTTTTACCAATCTCAAATTACTGAAAGAAAGGAAGAAAGAAAACAAAAAGAAGGGCTAACTGAATGAAGGAAGGAAAAAAACAAAACTGGAATTGACCTGTAGGTACAGGTTTTCTCTAATGGAAACTGTCATAGATTCTGCTACCTCCCCCTTCTGGCCACACCCAACCTCTGCTCCCTCTCTCCTTCCCACCCTGCTTCCTCCCTCTGTCCTCTGCAATTTCCACAGCAGTTGCCCAGAAGGCTTCCCTGCCTGCAGTCCATTTCCATAAGGCAGCCACTGTGTTCCTTGTCCAGCACTCAATTGTTGGTATCAGTTCTGTCCTTAAAGCCCTGCCCTGACTTCCCCACTGCTTTGCAAATGAAGCCCAGAGTTTTCTGCTCCATTACTAGGCTGTTGCTCTCCTCACTCTGTCTGGTCTCTCGTGATCAGGTACCTCTTATTTCAGCTCTCCTACCCCCAGTGGTCCTGCTCTCATCTCCCTGCATCTTCTAGGCTGCTTGTTGCCCTGATCAAATGCCTGGTGAGAAGCAACTTAAGGGTGGACGGATTTATTTTGGCTCACTGTTTAGGGAAAAAAACCATCATGCCCAGGAAAGCATGGCAGCAGGAGCTAGAGGTGTCCAGTCACATTGCATCTGCCATCAGGAAACAAAGAACAGATGAACAGATAGGAAGTGGATCAGGCTATAAAACCTCACATGTCTCACCACCACTCTTGACCCAGTGACCCACTTCCTCTAGCTGCCTTCCTCCTCCTAAAGGCTCCTCAACCTTCCAGAACAGCAGCACTGTGAGCTCTGAGGGACATTTCACATTCAGACCACATCTGCTTAGTACATGGCACTGCCTCTTCCTCTAGCTGCTAACCCAGCTCTCCTCTTCATCTCCAAAGCCTCAGCTTTGTTGCCTGCTCAGTTCTGTTTCTGTTCTGAGCTAAGCTCCTGGTGATTTGTTGATACCCTACCCACTTTATGAGAGGCTCTTTCACTACCTCTATTTCCTAACTACCCACATGTCCCCACCCCGGTAAGATCCCAAGAACAAGCTCCCTGGCCATTTTATGTTCCAACACCCAGCACAGCACGGTGCTGGGGCAGCACCACATAGATACTGAATGACTGTAGCATTTACTTCTGTAAACTTGTTTTAAGCCACCAGACTTCTGGGATGCTGCCTTTAATGCAGACCATACATTCTAGACCCAGGCACAGAGCAAGGACAGCACTTGTCAGATCTCGCCTCGTGCCTTAAAGGGCGGTTTGGTGATTGGGCTGTGCATTCTCACTTTATGAAATCCATCTCATCTTGCCTTCTTGTACCTTTGTATTGCACACACAAAATCACTGAGGCTGTGTCACTTTCTAGCCATAAATTTAAAAAAGCCTTCACCTGAGGTAGACATGAGAGAGAAGGGCCTGCCTGGGGCTGGGATCCCTCAACAAGGGACAGTGCCTGCCTCACCTTCTGCAGGGTCTGACTTGGCTACCTCCTGTGTCAGATCCTCTGCCCACTGCACCTGAAGGTGGAAGGACAGACTGGTCTGGACAGTCCGAGGTTTTGTGTCCTGGCCGTGTTCTCCCCTTCATGTCTGTAGTTGGGTTCTGCTACATCCCAAATAAAAAGCCTCAGCAAAGCTGACCGACCTTACCAGCCCCAGGTGTGTCTCTAGCAGAGAGAAGGGTCCCGTGCTTCCCTGCAGAGAGCATTCAGTTGTGCACACCTAGCCAAGGCCTTCACTCCTTCCCTATGTAGTCACTTATGTCATTCACAAAATGCAGAAGCCTGTTTGGGATGAAAGCAGAGGACGTTCAAAGGCAGCTTCATAAAGCTGAGAGTAAAATACAAAAGGGTCTGACAACAGTATGATTCTTGTTTTCTTTCTTTTTAATATCCATTGTAGGTCTGGAGTTCAGACTCTGCCCCACAATGCAAAGGTTCATTACAACTATGCCAATTTCCTAAAAGACCAAGGTCGGAACAAGGAAGCCATCTACCACTACAGAACCGCCCTCAAGTAAGCACCACAGAAGGCTTTAAGCTATAACAAGGACTGGTCACGTTACCCTTCTCCTCCCAGGGTGTGAGGGTGGTCATTTCTCTTGACAGTGAACTCACCCTTGGAGGTAGAAAGGCTCTTGAATTCTGAGTCTCTGGGCTCAGTATTCAAGTCTGTCACAAATGGACTCAATGCTGTTTCTCCTTCTGATTGGTGGAAGTATTAAGGCAACTCCATGTAGTTAAAAGGGAGGTTTATTTTGGGGGGGTAACTTACAAGTAAAGGGATAGGTTACAGGGTCCGGGAGAGGTGAAGTGCAGTCCAGCAGTGTTCTCTGGAGAACTCTGCTCAGTCTACCATCCAACATCCAGGCTTACCAGGAACCAAGAGAACTGGCACATCTCGATCTCATCCGGATCTCAGGTCTTAAGGGCTCCTGTCTCGGCCCCGCTTTGTAGGTGTGACAGTTACCAGAAACCTCAATGGGGGTAGTGCTTTCAGGTCAAAGCTGGAACAGCTACCCTCTACACCTTCCATGTTCAACATCTTGTAAAAAAAATAATAATAAAACTGTCATTGCTACACATAACACAGTGGAGTGAAACTCAGCTGGATACAAATATGTAAAACAGAAGTTTCTTGTTAAAAATACACTGGTAAGTTTGGGGAAGAATACTTGTTCTAATGAACTTTTAACAGTGTGTATATTGAAAGCTGTAGACCTCTCTCATCCCTTTTCTATGTATATAGATGCTGGGGGTGGTGCATATGTATGCACATGATATGGATGGAGGATCCACCTCAGATGTCATTCCTTAGGCACTGTACACTATGCTTTGAAACAGTTTCAGTAGCCTAGAAATTGCCAATTAGATGAGACTAATCGGCCATTGAGACCTGCCTCAAAAAGGCCAAAATAAAAAAAGAAGATATATTCCATCACAGGTACACATAAAGTATGCTTTGGCCTTAATGGTAAATGTTTCGTGGTTTCTCATACATTCTTGAGTGGAGGAAATAGGCAGTTAGTCCGTCCAACAGTGTTGGTGCGAGAAAGACTTTCTACACATTTACAAATTCTGTCAGCTCCAAATAGAAAAGTAACGCTGACCCTGATCCACAGCTGGGCCAAGGGTTTATACGAAGTGAAATCCTCTGGCAGATGATTCCACAAAATTATAGTTGCTGGTTTGCTATTTCTGCTTCTTTCCTGTGAAACAACAAAAATAAATATTTGTTTCTAGAAGAAATATACACCCTGAATGGGGGATAACAATCAAAGCTTAAAACCAGTGCTGAAATTAGTGAGTTACTTAATGCTCTCAACCTGGATCCTAGACATTTCTGATTTAAAATCTCATTTTTATATGGACTCCTCTGCCATGGACTTTTGGCAGATAGGAGTGTTTTACTTTCTATTTTAAAATAAGTTGTCACTCTTCGTGTTAGACAAAAAAGGAAAACCCAAGACCATTCATCATCGAGACAGTTGTTTATCTTTGGTGAATAGAAGATTTCCCATACTGCTATTCCTTGGTGGGAATTGCCAAGAGGGACTCAACTCGTCTCCTACCCAATGGCTCTTCTCCTTCAACTCTAGATTATCTCTGTATTTACCACAGCAAGGGAGAGAGTGACTAGGGAAGCAGCAAATTAAAGGCAGTGGGGTCTGGAATCAGTTCCTCAATCCCCCTAACTGCTGAAATGAGCATGTAGACGCCACAGGCAGTGGCATTTACCTACTGTGTTGGCAGGGAGCAGAGAGCAGAGGGGAAGCTGAGCCTGGTGTCAGCCTCAGAGCACATCCAGTGACCTGCTTCCTTCAGTGAGGCCGTACCTCCTAGAAAGTCTCTAAGTTGCTCAAACAGCACCTCCGCCTGAGGACCAGTGTTCCAACGTCTGGGTCTGTGGGGCCATTTCATGTCATGTGCACACCACCTCAGAAACCTGTCCTTAAGTCTTGAACAAATGCCAAGCATGTAAGTGTTGCCGTGAGGGGCAGCTTTCCAGTTCACACTTAATTTTGACACTAAATCCTGAGACTCTCATCTGAGAGAACCAGAAAACATGGGTGTATCTACTGTCTACCTCCCAAGCTTTCTAACTTTCTGTTGTATAGGAATAGATTCCTGCCATTTTGTGGCAGGTAATAGGAGGGAAGCTCAGAGACCTCCCAACAATCCAGCTGTGCTGTTCCCACCTAAGAACTCCCAAGCAATGCCTTCTCCAGTATGTCTAGAAGAAGGAGGTGACCCTGCCTGAACAATGTGCAGGAGATGTAGAGTGGGTACTTGGTGATTTGTGTGTTTATTGACTAGCTGTAAAAGTCAGTTAAAAACAAAATCATAAAACAGGTCTCCTTCCCTCCTCTTCCTCCCTGTTCTCTCCTCCTTCCCCACCCCCCCTTCTCTCCCCAGTCACCTTTTACATTTGATTTTGCAACAGGGTCTCAGTTGCTTAGGCTGATCTTCAAATTGCAATTCTCCTGCTTCAGCCTCCTGAATAGCTGGGATTATAGGTATGCACCACAGCCAGCCTCATGAACACTTCTTAGTATTTTATCTTGCCTTGAAATTTCAAATGTGCATTCATTCACAAGCCTTCTAGTAACAACAACAACAACAAAAAGTCCTTAAGAGCCTGCAGATTCAATTTCACAGTGACGGTGCCCATATTTAGTCATTACAGTTTTGTTGCTTTAGAATAGAACACAAGTTAAAGGTACTTACAGTCATGTGAGTAGACTAGTTGAGATTTTGTCTTATTTTCCTCCAGTCTTTTACAGTTGCTTCACATCTAAATCAGTGACAATTTTTTGAACAAACCCTCTTTTTTTAGTATTTCTAATTTTTATCTACTTTCCTTATGTTTTCTTTCCACACTTATATTTTACCTGTTTGTAAAATATTTCAAGGCAGTGAATACTGTAAATAAAAAACCACCTTTATTAGACACATCTGAGTTTTAGCATTTACTTGGTTTAGAAGCTATCTAGAGATCTGATAGTATAATTAACAGGCTTTTTGAAGTGCAGTCTTACTACAGGTGATAGTTATGGGATCTGCTTTTCACTGTTTAAATCGCTGCATGGTTAAATTCAGGTTGTTAAACTGTGCTGGTCAAGAACTAGCACCTGGAACAGAAACTAAAGTTTGCCTTTGTCTGGTGAATCAGAAAGACTTCTGGCTGAGCAAGGTGATGTACACTTGAAATCCCAGCATGTGAGAGGCAAAGGCATGAGTGCCGCTGGGAGTTCAAAGCCAGCCTGGTCTACATAGTGAGTTCTAGGCCTGCCAGAGAGAGCTACATGGTGAAGAATTGCCCAAATTCTCATTCCCATCCCCAAAGAAAGAAAAAAGGAGAATGGGGTGAGGAAAGGAGGGGGAGATAGAGAGATAGAAAGAGAGATGGAGAAGGGTAGGAGGAGAGAGGGAGGGAGGGAGGAAGGAAAGTTCCATGGAACCTTCATTCACTCAGATGCGTCATCCCCGGACACATTCTATGTGCAGGATTCTATGCTGACAGAGGGACTGCAACCCTCTGCCACTCAGGTAACTCTTTTTACAAGAATGGCTTCATCTTAATCTCACAGTTAAAATTTAGCCACCACAATTCCAACAATGCAGTCAGGTGATATGATGTCCAAACTGAAGGCACTCAGGTGGACATTTTGACCAGGTTTATAGCACCAAGCATGAATTCCCTTTCTGTGGAACAGGACTTAAAGTCAGTCCAAAATGATTGATTATATCCATAACCTTTGTGCACATCTGACCTGGCAGGTGAGGCAGTATTGTTGTATACAGTGCTGTGTTCATCACAGGATAATTCCACTGGTGGGTTTTTCTCCCCCAATAGCCTACACAGCATTTCTGGCACTTAGAAAGCTAGCCTGCAGGGAAGAAGTTTTCAGATCAGTTCCAGCTTGATCTCTCTGTGTCCTACAACCAAAGTGTGTTGTATCTGCAATAGGCTCTTACCATCTAGTTATAGTGGGCAACCAATAGCCTGGGTTTTTTGGTGGGGTGCTCTGGGGTTTCCTGATCAATAACTCATAGGGAGATGTCTTAGTTACTTTTCTGTTGCTATGCTAAGATATAATGACCAAGGCAGCTTATACAAGAAACAACTTTGGGGGTGCTTACAGTTTCAGAGGGTGAGTTCAAGACCATCATATACAGAGCATGGCAGCAGGCAGGTGGGCATGGTGCTGAAGCAGTAGCTGAGAGTTTATACCTTGATCTACAAACACAAGGCAGAAAAAAATCTAACTAGGAAACTGGGAATGGCATGGGCTTTTGAAACCTGAAAGCCCACCCCAGTGACTTACCTCTTCCAATAATGTCACACCTCCTAACCCTTCAAGCATTGAAATATATGAGCCTATGGGGGCCATTCTTATTCAGACCACCACAGGAAGGCTCCCACAATGGACCAGGCTCTTTTCTATTGGATAACTAAATTTTCTCTTGTACAAAAGACATCTCCAGTGTGATGGTTGATCTCCATTGTTGACTGATTGAGGCACACCACTAAGTGTGCCTGTGAGGGTGTTTCCAAGGAGGGAAAACCTACTCTGAACGTAGCTGGGGCCACTCTGTGAGCTGGGGTCTTCAACTGAATGAAAAGGGAACAGGAGGAAGCTGGCTAAGTGCCAGCTTTACCCTTTGGGGCCAGGTACAAGTAAGCAGCCTCCTTTCCCCAGGCTTTCACCCTTCAGTTGCATCTGTCAGGTGTTTTATCACAGGTGCAAGAAAGGGAACTGTTTGATTGGCTAACACACGAGAAAGAATTGAACTGAAATCTATTGCAGTTTGCTTAGTGTATGGACTCGTCAGGAGAACAGGGCCCATTGATGTAGTTCTTTGTATTTCCCTCTTCACGGGATGACTGGAATTCTACAGGGAGATCCCATTAGATTGAGCTAAGTGTCTGTGGGAAAACGAACTACTAGAGGAATGAGTACTGAAGAACCATGGTTGACATTAGAGTCTGAGGAAACCTGAGATGTCTGATTA